TTTAAAGGCACATCAAGTAGTGTTTTCATTTTGCCTAAAGGCAAACATTACTTAAACAGTCCAGTAGAGAGTAGGCTCCAGACAAACTCGTCAAAATATGCAATAGTACAACATAAGCTAAATAAGTTGATCTAAGAAAAAACACACATGGAGAAGTGCTGGGAATGAAGTTGATTGCTAAAATGGGGGCGGAATTGATCAAATCCGATCACAACATGGTTTTAGCTAGTGTACACCGCATGCATACAAACCGTCAGATAAGGAACCATCCGGAACAATAGAAGAATGACAAAAAAGTTGTCTGCAGATTGAAAATATAGATAATTGCAACTTTTATCAGAATGGTCTGCATCTCGAACAAAATCCGCACATGAGCGTACAAGGAAAATACTAAGCATAAATATTCCGGTCGTCGTAATGCTATGATCGGTTAAAGATACAGTAGAAAACATTATGTTTCTAAAGTAAGGTAAACTTAGAAGTTCGATACATTGCAAATGTACGTTGTCAAAAGCTCTTCCTGATGTCATGGCGCAGGAACGCATTATATCTCATGCGACACAAATGATATGTTTATTGAGAAATAAATGTTACTATTAACTGCTTTGCGATGTCAATACAAGAAATTCACGAGGCCGTTACGCAGCCAGTCCATGACCATAATGGTCTTTTTTTTCAACCGGATTACTCATTACAAGAGAGAATGAAATTGAGGGCGCTGAAGGCGGAGCTGGCGACCTCGAAAGCACAAGGAGAGAAAGGACTACTAATAATGAACGGAGTGATTGTTCGACGACAAAGACCCCTCCTGTGGAGGACGCCTGTCATAATAACAAGGGCCACGCGGCCGGGCAACTAATTCGACGCAACAACCTACATAAAATTAAGTTATTTTACGGAAATGTGCAAAGCCTCTTGAACAAACTCGACGAACTTAGAATAATTGTAGCCAAACTATGTCCTTATGTAATTGCATGAACTGAAACGTGGCTCGCCCCAGAGGTCACAGACCCACTAAATACAGTTAGGTGGTTATCAAGTGCTAAGACGAGACCGAACCAAAAAGCGAGTTGACGGAGTTGCCCTATATATCAACAATGCGGTCGAATATAACCCCGTTGAAGAATGTGTACATGGGCATGATCTGGAGATGCTGCAGTGTCATTTGCTGGTCCCCAAAGCCGAAAACGTTACTATCAACATTGTATATAGGCCTCCTAATTAACCTGCCGACGAAGATCAAGCGTTAATCACTCGACTCCGCGAGGACAGTCAAAAACAAAAACATTATTATTGTAGGAGATTTCGATGCTCCGCGGATTAACTGGGACCTTATGACAGTTAAGGGTCACAGACAAGGATTCGACCAAATGCTATTAGACATGTCATTTGATGAATTTCTGTTTCAACATGTACGAACTGTGACTCGGATGTGTGAAGGTCGGAGAGCGAGTTGCCTAGACCTTGTGTTTACCAAGAACGAGGAAAGCGTTGATAAAATAAATGTAGGCCCGCCAATAGGTCATTGTGAATACATGACATTAATGTGGGCGTCCACACTCGTGGCTGCCCCGAACGAAGCTCAAAGTCGTCAAGAAATGTCTGGTGGGGTAACTTTGAGGCAATGAAATCAGAGATTGAACACACAATATGGGCGAAATCATTACGAGGAGACGTCAACGAATGCTGGACTACCATCGAATCAACTATGAGAGACCTGATTGAACAATACTGTCCCCTCAAGAAACATCCAACCGGAAACAAACCGAAATGGTTGACAACAGCGGTTAAGAAGGAAATCCGGAAAAAACGCAAGCTATGGAAAATCTTCTTACAAACGGAGAACCCAGAAAAACTTCAGGAATTCAGACCACAACGAACCTTATGCAAGAGACTCATCCGTGAAGTACGAGGTTCTTATGAACTGAAGCTCCTAGAAGAGGCGCAGCAAAAACCTAAAGCGTTCTATGCATATATCAGGAACCATACGAAAAACCGGGACATTCTGGCAACCTTAAATGATAAAAATAACCGAACTGTGAGCGATGGTTTTCAAAAAGCCCAGCTTCTTTCCGCGTTTTTCCAGAGTGTCTACACCACGGAACCACCCCTCCAGTCCTATTCTCTTCCACTGCCCGCAAACCAACCACTTATAAGCACAGTATTTTTTATTCCGCATTTAGTTTTAGCAGAGCTAAATAAGCTATATCCGGCCAAGTCACCTGGACCAGACGACATCCCAGGTGTACTTCTGCGTCAGCTAGCTGAAGAATTAGCAGAGCCACTTTGTATAACCTTCCAAAAATCGCTGGAAGCTGGCAAACTAGCTGACACATGGAATTTGGCGAACGTCGTACCTATCCACAAGGGAGGATCACGGCTATCTCCCACGAACTACCGGCCGGTTAGTTTCACATGCATTTGCTGCAAACTGATGGAAAAATTAGTTAAATACTCTATAACATCACTCGATAATTTCCGCTCTCACATCGCCTCAGTTCAACATGGCTTCTGCGAAAAAAGGTCGTGCCTCACAAACTTTCTTTCGTCACTCGAACACTGGTCAAAGGTCATGGATGCAGGACATCCAGTTGATGTCATTTACGTCGACTTCAGCAAGGCGTTAGATTGCGTCCCACAAAAGCACCTCATTCAAAAGTTGTCAGAAGTAGGAATAAGAGGAAATCTTCTGAACTGGATTCAAGATTTCCTAAAAGGATGGCAGCTACTGCTCAGAATGGGCACCTGTTACGAGTGAAGTCCCACAGGGGTCAGTTCGTTTGGCCATTCCTATTCCTTATCTATGTTAATGACCTAGTGCGGGAAGTGAAATCGGAAATAGCGCTCTTTGCAGACGATCTTAAACTTTGAAGAGCGATAAAAGATGAAGATGACGTCAAGAAACTACAAGAGGACGTAGAGAATTTGTACGCATGGAGCGAGAAATGGTGCATGAAATTCAACGTCAAAAATGTGCAGTTATGCACGTAGTATCAGCGAGGCGAAGAACAAATGCAACCCCACGATAGTATCTCCTGGACAATCAACCACTTAAAACCGTAGATGTGCAAAAAGATCTTGGTGTGTTCATTAAAGACGATCTAAGCGTCACCACGCAGTGCTCTAAAGTCGCTGCGCGGGCAATGTCCGTTATGAGCGCGATACGCAGAACGTTTATACACTTGAATAAAGAGGTCTTTGGCAAAGTATACGGGACATTTGTGCAGCCGCACCTGGAAGATGCGGTACAGGTTTGGCGACAGTGGCTTCGGAAGGATATAGATATCCTTGAAGGTGTACAACGGCGTGCTTCAAAGGCTGTTCATGGCCTCAAAAACTTCACGTACGAGCAGCGCCTGACGGTCTTGAACCTCTATCCCCTCCACTACAGGCAGGACAGAGATGATCTCATAGCAATGTTCCAGTTGGTAAAAGGGCTTAATATGGATGTCGACTGGGAAACGTTTTTTTTGAAATGGCACCAAAATCCAATCTCAGACGACATGATTACCAGCTTAAAAGGGAACTGTGCCACACAAATCAACGCTCCTCCTTTTTCTCACAGAGGGTCATTCGCCAATGGAACTCTTTGCCGGAGTTTGTTGTTAATTCCCCTACATTGAGCGTGTTCAAGAGACAACTGGATGCGTACCTGCTGAAAGGCAACCCGAACTGCCGAAGCCTGATCTAATGGATTACTGAAATGACTATAAATATACTACTAACAAGATTTCAACAAATCCTATTTTGTGCGTCAAACTTAGCCCACATTGAAATTTTCACAGTCCGAATGAGGAGAACAAAGTTTTTCGCAATTATTTCGCGAATATAATACCCCTTTCGCCTTTATGTTACATTATTAGATTTATGAATTCTCCTTACTTAAATACAAGTAAAAGCTTTGCAATTTCATTACGTTCCCTTATATCTGTACCCTCTAAATGGAGTCCTCAGGGCTTCTGTAGTTTACTCCAAATATACTGACTGATACTAACTGACTGATTACTTGCTTCCTAACGTGAGCAAGTAACGCAATTATGCAAAGCAGGCTTGTGAAAGAACATATACTAAATCAACACAGCCTGAAAACCGCGCATTTCCTCAATTTGTGTCGACCACTGTTGAATACCGTGCAGTAACAGTAGCTTGGGCTAGAGAATGCGACAAAACGATGCCATTACCTGTGCGTGACTTGCTCTAATCGAAGGACAAAGCCAATTTTCTGGAATCCTGGCTATTATGGTGGAAATCTGAGGCTAGCCGGCACATCCTAGGAAACGTAAATACGGTCTCGAAGTACCCGTGGTAATTATGGAAAAGAACTTTTCAAATTCTGAGTCATTAATTCCAAGAGTGCGTGTTGTACTGCGTAGATTTTTAATTGAAATTTTACCCTAAACGTCTTAGATAAAACGTGATACAGGCCTTGCAATCTCGAAGTCCTCCGACAGAGCCAACCATACGCATACTTCCCACTAGATTTGCCCATGGTCAGAGTTGTTTATCTTTTCTCCCGGCTTGCTTAATTTCCATAGCATTCCGGCATGACTGTAGCACAGATGGATGTCGGGAATAAGGAATCAGAGTACGGTGTCGATCCCGCGACAACCCTCTAACTCCTCGTCTAGCGTAGCTCGGCGGCAAGCCATATCACAGTCTCCTTGACTGTATAGACGTACAAACTGAACGTCAAGTATTTAGTGATCGTCAGATGCCGGCCGCCGAGTCCAACGAGCTTGAGGGAAAAAAATACAAAGATGAAATCCAAATAACAATGCATTGTAGACTAAGATAATAATAAAACTTTAACTACTGGAAAAATAACTATAAGTAGGGCAAAGACACCCAGCAGAGTTTGCACGCGGCCACCCATTACAACAGCCTCAGTATGTACGGTCAGAAAGGGGAGAAACACAAATGATGCTTGCACGTCGCCCCAACCTCCTGGGGGCAGCGGTGAGTGCTCACCGTATCCGACATACAAACATAAATCAGAGCCTATGTCACCCGTCCCCCTCGCCCCTGACTCAATGACGACAACACACCGACAACGCCATAACACGCCTCGCCATGCGATTGGCATGGGAACGGTGAGTGTTATTTGCCCCTGATCACGTAAAAACTCTGTAACTACGCTCGTTTTCAACTTTGTAACTGTTTTGGCCTAACGACGAGTTACCGAAAACAAGTGTTTGCCAAATAGGCCATTTAATGCTGATTTTGATCTACTATGCAGCCTGTGGCTTGTGTCGCGTTTGTGATAAGTATGATAGTAGCTCGCGTAGTTTAGAATGACGTTATTCGAACCGATGTGCTCATCCGATCGGTAATATTGACATTAACATAAGAGAACCTCAAATGAGACATATGTCTTTGGTCTTCTCGACGGCATCAAAATGCAAAATTTTATGGCCATGCTTTTTTCGATTAGTTTACCTAAATATATACCTGCAATAAGCCGGCCGCTGAAGGGGATTAATGTGAAACGTTGCACAACATTCCGACAATCCCAGAGATTAAATTCATAATCCAGAAAGAAGTTAGCAGATGAATCCAAAATTTGCTTGTACTTGTACAGAGGGGGACTGACAGAGAATTACAGTGATTGCTGAAGCGCGCACAAATGTCTGTGTATGCCGTCAAACAGAAGCCTGTACGCTCATACGCGAACACCAATTGCAGGTAAAGATGCGAGACCACTTGATTAAAATAGCTAATGCATTCCCCGGACTCTGGGTACACCCTCACTTGGGGAGAACTCGCGTTTTCGGTGTCTGTCGTTGTACAAATTGTCTCCATTTACTCAACTTAATGCACGAGGATAATGCATGCATTAATGTGTTTATAAAGCTGGATGCCATATAACACGGAGACATTGAAGAGGTGAGAGTGAACAGAATAGAATGGCGGGGATTCTGGTTACTCAGCGGTGCAAACGAAAATCAACTGCCAATTTTCCAGGAAGCATACTCCTATTTCTTTGTGCTTGGCTGTTAAAAATTTACAGATGGAAACTTTAGTTCATCGCTGCGTACGAGGCCGCCTCCATAGTTTCTCCGACATAGTTGCTTTGTGCACAACTAAGCCAGATCCGGTAAACGACTCCAAAAGCTTCCTGCCGTGGCAGCGGGTTTTTTTGGCCTCATGTCTTAGCGCCTAATGATTGCTTCCGTCCTGTATGCAACCCCAACTCCAAGTGGAGTGAGAAGATGCTTGAAGGCTGCACGTACGGAAGAACGTACGCCAAGATTTGGGACGGTTGGATTTTATCTCTAGTGTCCTTTTCGTATGCACTGGTTAGCAAAATTGCGCGGGTAACTATTGGCTCTCATTGCCCGTCGAAGATACTGTAATTCAGCAACCTTGTCTTCCATTTCAATGCAGTGCGTCTCAAGGCGCCGGTATAGCGCCCTTACGCAACTGCGTTTGTGACTGATCGAAAGGTTGCTATTGAAGTTCTGTATTTGCGTCGTATTTGTCGCTTTGCTGAACACTTTGGTTTTTAGGCCACCACCATCTCTGCGGCTGACGAGGACATCCAGGAAGGCCAGCTGGTTGTTCTCCTCCTCCTCCATCGTAATTTTAATGTCCGGGAAGACGGAGTTGAGATGTTTTTTGAATGTCAGCACCTGATCCCGTTCGATCCCGTCCGAGGTGATTCACCATTTCAAAGAAGCCGAAGGCACGATCACTGGGACAGTAGGTTTATTTGCCTGAGCTTTTGAACTCGAACTAGAGATTATCATCAGAGGCTACTCGAGTGCAGCAAATTGTGAAAATTTATATCGTTCATCCTTGCGGGGGGGGGAGAGGGAGTACGTCCGTGTCTAGGTAGGGTTTGTGCCGCCTGGTCCACGGTGTTCCCCTGGCGTGGTGACGCCGTTTGTACTTCGCGACGGTGTGAGCTGCGCCACCTGGTTGCGTGGGCGGAGCGCGTGATACCACGCAGGCAAATCGATGTGTCTGTTGATGGAGTTGGTGTCCGACACCCACGCCTCCAACAGCTCTCGTCATGCCTTGTTGCCGGCTCGCGCTAATATCCGCGTGTTGGCGAAGTCGAACTCATGCCCTTCCTCCAGCGCGTGAGTGGCTACTTGAGAAACTGGGTCGCCCCTCCGAACGGCCCGTTTATGCTCAAGTATTCGTGAGCTCAGTCGTCGTCATGTCTGGCCTGTGTAGTGTCAAGGACAGTTTTGGCACAGGATTCGATAGACTTCGCCCGACTATTCACCTGCGTCCAGCCGATCCTTCATTTTCATGATCCTGCTACGCATGGTAGCCGCCGGATGATGAGCAATACCCACGAGTAGCACGATGCACTCGGGTAGACTCTGATGATGAACTCTAGTTCGAGTTCGAAAGCTCAGTCAAATAAACCTACTGTCACATTGAACGTGCCTTCGCCTTCTTTTAAACAAGAACCTGGGTTGCGCATATTCTCTTCCATTCGTGATTCTGCATTTCGTCGTATTTCTCTCGAACATTTCCTACGAGACAAATACGACGAAACGGAGAATCGCCTCGGACACGCCCAAATTATCCAGCTCCTGATGTTCTGTCTCAAGACGTACTTTACGTTCGACGGAACAATCTACGTGCAGGTGAGGGGAACGCCAATGGGTTCGCAGATTTCGGGACTTATAGCGAAGGTGGTCCTACCATGGCTGGTGCCGATGGTTTTCCAACACCACAGACCGAACTTCTGGGCTCGGTATGTGGATGACACCTTCTTCGTCATCGAACGGGATCAGGTGTTATCCCTCGGTAACATATTCCGTGCTGCGATTTTCCCTGGGCAGGAGAATCAGTCACGTGGAGAGGGCGCAGGCGAGCAATTATCACAGTGGCAGTGAGCCAGTTTGTCAAGCAATCGTCACACCAGCATCCAGTACGGATGACGAAATCACGGCCATTAACGACTCGCACTCGCACATTTATATTTCTTTGTACTTGGCTCTTATTTATTCACAGATGGAAACTTTAGTTCATGGTCGCGTACGAGTCTTCCTGCATAGTTTCTCTTACATAATTGCTTTGTCCGCAACTATACCAGATCCGGCAAACCACTCTAGACGTTTCCTGCCGTGGCAACGGATCTTTTGGCCTCATGACTTAGCGCCTAAATGTTGCTTCCGGCCTGTGTACAACCCCCAACTCCAAGTGGAGTGAGAAGACGACTGACGGCTTCCGAGACGTTCTTCACGTACGAAAGGGCCCGCCAACATTTGGAGCCGGTTGGATTTGGTCTCTGGTGTCCGTTTCGTATGCACTGGTTAACAAGGTTGAGCGGGTAACCATTGGCTCTCATTACCCGTCGAAGATATTGCAATTCAGCAACCGTGTCTTACATTTCACTGCAGTGCATCTCAACGCGCCGGTATAGCGACCTTACGCCACTGCGTTTGTGACTGATGGGGTGCTTGCTATTGATTTCAGTATTTTCGTCGTATGTGTCGCTTTCCTGAACTTTTTGGTGTTTAGGCCACCACCCTCTCTGCGGCAGACGAGGATATCCAAGAAGGCCAGCTGATTGTTTTCCTCCTCCTCTATCGTAAATTGAATGTCCGGGAAGACGGCGTTGATATGTTCTTTGAATGCCAGCACCTGATCCCGTTCGATCCCGTGCGAGGTGATTCTCCATTTCGTCGTATTTCTAGTGTTTCATCGTATTTCTCTCGAACTACTCCTACGAGAGAAATACGACGAAATGGAGAACCGCCTGGGACACGCCCAAATTATCCAGCTCCTGAAGTTCTGTCTCAAGACGTACTTTACGTTCGACGGAACAATTTACGAGCAGGTGAGGGGAACGTCAATGGGTTCACCGATTTCGGGACTCATAGCCGAGGCGGTCCTACTACGGCTGGAATCGCTGGTTTTTCTACACCACAGACCGAAACTCCGGGCTCGGTATGAGGATGACACCTTCGACGTCATCGAAATGGATCAGGTGCTGACCTCCCGGTACCAAATTCCGTTCTGCGATATTCCCTAGGCAGGAGAATCAGTCACGTGGGGAGGGCGCGGGCGAGCAATTATAACAGTGACAGTGAGCCAGCTTGCCGAAAAATCGTCACACCAGCATCCAGTACGGATGACGAAATCGCGGCAACTAACGACTCGGACTCGGACCGACAAGCCACCACCGAATCAATCACGACCCCAGCGGTGATTGCGAGAACTGGTAATTACAGTGCGCATACGGTCCACGACAGCCACGTGCTATAAATACTGCGCTTCTGGTGCCACCATCACCCTTTTCTGCGAATGTCTCTGATGATGGATTCGAGTGAGAATCAGAAACGTCAGGCCAATAAATTTCTTGTTCCAGTGATCATATCTTCGTCTTCTGAACTGCTAACTGCAACTCGCCTGTTCGCTTATATCAGCAATCCTCTGGTTTGCTGTCAACACAGCAAAAAACTAGTAAACGCATGCACTGGATTGAAAATGCTATTTACGTTCACGTATGTACCCTCATTGTAACTTTACCGAGTAAAGATGGAAGAGCGGGGACGTCACGCATGCCAACGGGCAGCCATACTTCATCAACTGAACGATGACAAGATACAGGAATTCGAGAAATATGTGCAATCCATTTCGAACAAACGCGGGGTAATCAGGAGGACTTCAACTATTCGGCGTATGCAGGAAGGCAGACCGCAGTTTACGATCCTGATGATCTCGATAAAACATCGATTGAAGCCTGCTCGTTGGGTCCTACCTTTTTCAGTCTTCGCCAGAAACTAAACCACTTAGAGTCAGAAACACAATTCGAGAACACCTTGAGTATACCTCGTGAAATTCAGCCCGTTTCAACAGATGTCCACGTTGGCCAATTGCTCTTATAAGCCTGAACAGTCCTCAGAAATGTCAGGGATTGCAGACGAGGTCACACATTGAGAAGTTTAGTGCAACTCCGACAAAACAAATACATTCTGATAGCTAGCCCAGATAAGGGAAGTAGCGTGGTTCTGATGGACAGGGTAGACTATATTACAAAAATACAGTCAATTCCGTCGAATCAGGAAAAGTTCAGAATGACAGAAAAAGGAGAAATATCGTTCAGATGAGATCGAAACACAACTGACTCACTGATTGAAAAAAACTTCAGGCGGATCTGAACGAAATTGTCGTGTTTTTGTTTGATGTCTCATGAATTTTTTTCCGAACGTACTGGTAAGACATACGGTCATCAACCTTGGAGATTGCATTGCAACAAACAACAGAATATAGGAATTCCGGTGAATTACCTTAATTAATTGTTAACGGGAACGTGCAGATCCTTTATGAAAAGAATCTTTATAGACCGATGGTCGGTGTGGCTATCGGCTCACCATTTGTCCTGAATTTGGCGAATAAATTCAAAAGAAAGTTAGAAGCTTTCCAGCTACGTCGCCAGATTAACGGTATGAGGTACTATGGACGGTCCGTGTATGATATTATTCGCAATTGCACCGAAATAAAATGACACCTTAATTCTACTGCAGGATATCAATCAGACTCACCCAACTTGGTTCAGTTGAAACTTACTTCTGAGTGCTTAAGCAAATCGAGTATTTGTCGGCCACAACATTGTCGGCCGATAAACAAGCGCACTCACACCAGTGTCAGCCTGGCCTTTTGACCAATCATAGCCATGCAAGCAGACAAGTCAGCTAGAAGGCCGTTTTGATATGCACCCTCCCAAGACTGTCACGAATGCTCAGCTCTCACATGGGAGGCCACGCACGTAGCACTCAACGTGTGCCTTCGTCCGTCCGGCAACTTGTTTTAACCTGTTCTGCACTATTATCTGCTTAAACTTGCCTTAACCGCAAGACAATTACAGGAACATAAAACACATGAAGCACTTTAGTATTGAAGTACCCAAACTGTGCGTTAGTAGTTTGGGCATGCTGTAAGCGGCCGGCTGTTGATATTGTGGCGGAAAGGTAATTGAGATTGGCGAACCTCAATTTCGGCTTTAAAGGCGACCATCTTGTTTGTTTTGAAGATTGCTGTGCAATACATATGAGAATGCGGTTAACGCTGCACATTTGGTCGAACATTGTTCCAGATTCATTCAATTTTGTGTACTGCATTTATTGGCCGCTGTTCCGAAATCTTGAATTAATTACAAGTTTTACAAATCAAATCTTAATTTTGCGCATCTTACGTTCGTCACCGCAAGGCAGCACTGGACAGTTCCTCATCAACAATAAGCTATTTGGGGTAAGCGGTTCCAAGTCGTTGCTGTCTAATGTTAGCTTAAAAAGCGGTCTGTTACTTAACATACGTTTAGCCTGCACGAAGGGGATGCCGAGCTGTTCGTCAGTTAGGAACTGCTCCTTACAGAGAGCAAGAAGAATCCGTCGTAGTGACCTGATCATGCGTTCCCATATGCCTCCCCGAAAGCTGGTAGGGGGTGGGTAAAAATGCCCCTGTATCTCTAGAGTTAGCAGTTGTTCCGACACACCCTTTTGGTCAAAATATTGTAAGTCATTTCGGAGTTCTGCTACCCCTCCAGCAAAATTGGTTCCGTTATCACTGAAGATGTCAGTGGGACGTCCGCACCTACTCAAGGATCTCATCTGACACTGAAGTAAAGAATTCGTGGTCAGGCTGATGGCTATCTCAAGATGAACGGACCTCGTTTGTTAGCAGCTAAACACACAACCATAACGTTTCTCCAAAGATCGTCCATGTTTGACCATCAACGAACTAAAAAAGTCCATGCCATCGCTCCTGTAAGGATACCAACCGCTTTCTGTTTTATTTAAGTGAAGCGCGAACAGCATCTGCCACTTCAGTTGTCGCGATTCACGTCTGCAAAGTAAACACCTACCGATGACACGTTTGACAGAAGCGGTTCCTTTTAGAATCCATAGTTTTGGGCTGATTGCACCTAGAACTTGGGCTGTTGCACAATGACATTCCAATTCATGAAAGTAATTGATGATTAATTCCGTCACGGGATGATTGTGTGGGAGGATTGACGTGTGTTTTAACGATTCACAAAAACTTGATTAATTTAGACGACCACCAACGCACATAACACCTTCAATCCAAACAAAACCTAACTTTAGCAGGTCAATATTTCTCACGGAATTTCGTTTTTGGAAATCTGCTGGTGTAAACTCCACACTGCCAATTCTTCTGAAATGTGCTGCTTATAACGCAGGAGTCAGACTTCAACGCTTTGCACCCTTGTCTAACTTGAAAAACGCAATATTAATTCATCTAAACCACCACATTAATTTAATATATTAATTTGCGCTGCTTTCCTCCTGAATTCCAAGTCTTCATGTTGTCCTACTGGTGGTTGAACAAGCTATTGGCTTTCAGGTCGAACTAAAAATTCCGGACCGTCCAACCATCTAGGTACCATAGCAAATTTGCACGTACTTCGAGAAGCATTGTCTTTTGGGTTGACGTCCGAATTCACGTATCTCCATTGAGATTTCGCAGACAGATCATGCATAACTGTCACTCGGTTGGCCACAAATGTGCGGAACCTAGTTGATTCATTGTGTCTATAATAAAGGACAGTCACATGATCGATCCAGTAAGCTATTGATTGGAAGTACTTATCGGTGTTTGAGCGGATGAGATCAGCCACGCGCACAGCCAGAGTAGTAGCTGCAAACTTTAAACATGATACAGAACCGGCTTTGAGGGGGGCGACACGTTACTTCGAATAAACCAGTGAACAATGTAGATTTCCTGTGTCGTCAATAAAGCGAGCATATGCTTCTGCACTGTATGCTACTTCCGAGGCATCGCAAAACACGTACTGTTGGGCTCGTTTCGGCTCGCTGTTGTCTTTGCGATTGCGACATCGGGCCGGCTGAAAAGTCTTCAGGCTCCGTAAATTAGAGATCCAGTTTTCCAAACGACAGCTCTCGATGACAGATAGTTGTTCATCCCAATTCACTCCGTTTTTGCATAAGGATTACAGTAAAAACTTTCCTGGTATCAGTTAAGGTGAAACGAAGCCCAACATGTCATAAAAAGAGGACAAACAAAATAAACTACCTTTTCGAGTGGACGGTTTTGTGGGCATATTGAGATTTATTATCAGAATATCGGAATGCGTATCCCACCGCAACCCCAAAGTTCGTTCAGTTGATAGGCGGTTGACGGCAATATCTCGCCTACCTGAAGGATGTTCAGTCGCACTAACGACAGGGAGTATACGTCGGTCCATAGAAGCCTAGTTCCGCATACGAAAGCCGCCTTGTGAGAGAAGTTTACAAATTTCGTCCACAAAACGTTTGGCGGAATCGATATCACATAACGACACTAGACAATCATCAACGTATATACTTTGGTGAAAGGCTCTGCAAGTTGATGAAGAGTAAGATGAACCGAAATCTTCCACAGCTTTTTGTAACTCAAAGGCAGCACAAAAGGGTGAAATGGTCAATCCGAATGGGTGAGACGTCCACTGAAAGTCAACTGCCTCCCCTTTTAGCCTGTCATACTCCAACCACAAAAATTTCAGAACATATCGTTCAATCGGGTCCACTTTCACTTCCAGGAACAATTTCTCTTTATCCCCTGCCACTGCGATACTCTCAAGTCGGAAACCCAACAAAGCACTGTCTAACTTAGCGTTTAGGTCAGGTACTTGGTATAGATTGTATTTCATAGTTACGTCCTGACACTTGGCAGCACAATCAAATACAACACGAATTTTGCCTGGTTTTCGGGGACTGAGAACGGGGTGGTGTTGTAAGTACCATTATCTCGTAACTGAAAACGCTTTGTTTCCGTCAACTTGCTCGATGTACCCCCTCTCCATGAACGAACGGAATGTTTACTCATATTTTCGAAGTAATTCGCTCCAACCTAGTTTGATATAGATTAATAGTTTACGCGCTAACTGGAAATTGTTCGGTAAATTCTGCGCACTGTTTCGCCAACGGAGTGGCAGTTGGTAATGCCCTTTTATGATTATAACGGAGGATCGCACAATAGCCAGTGCTTATTCGTCCTCCAATGAGTGCCTCG